ATCTTGGCAAGAATACTCCTGAACAGACTAATTCCCGCTATAGCAGAAGAAATTCTACCTGAATCTCAGTGTGGCTTCAGAGCCAACAGGAGCACCACAGACATGATATTTGTTCTCAGACAACTGCAAGAGAAGTGTAGGGAACAGAACAAAGGTCTCTTTGTAACCTTTGTCGACCTCACCAAGGCTTTCGATACTGTGAGCAGAAAAGGTCTCTGGCAGATTTTGGAAAGTTTAGGTTGTCCCCCCAAGTTCCTTAAAATGATCACCTCACTTCATGAAGATCAGCATGGCCAAGTCAGATATGGCAACACACTTTCTGAGCCCTTTCTAATAAAGAACGGCGTGAAACAAGGCTGCGTTCTCGCTCCTACCTTATTCACAATCTTTTTCAGTATGATGCTCCAAAGGGCCACGGCAGACCTCGATGATCAGGACGGTATCTACATTCGATATCGTACTGATGGAAGCCTATTCAACCTAAGGCGACTGAAGGCCCACACCAAGACCTTAAACCATCTTGTCCGGGAGCTGCTTTATGCTGATGACGCCGCCCTTGTTGCCCACACAGAAGCAGCTCTGCAGCGTTTAACATCCTGCTTTGCAGATGCTGCTGAGCTCTTTGGGCTGGAAGTCAGCTTAAAGAAGACAGAAGTTCTCCATCAACCTGCACCTCAGGAAGTCCCCCATCATCCCCACATCACCATTGGCCAATCAGATCTCAAATCAGTCCAGCAGTTCAATTACCTGGGCAGCCTCATCTCCTCGGATGGTAAGATTGACGGGGAGATAGACAACAGGTTAGCAAAGGCATATGGTGCTTTTGGAAAACTCCATAAAAGAGTCTGGCGTAATAAACACTTGAAGAAAAGTACCAAGATCAGTGTTTACAGAGCCATAGTGCTTTCTACTCTCTTATATGGTTCCAAATCATGGGTCATCTACTGCCACCACCTGCGTCTCCTAGAACGCTTCCATCAACGCTGCCTCCGCACAATCCTAAACATCCACTGGTCAGATTATGTGACCAAAACATCTGTTCTTGAACAGGCAGCAATCACAAGTATTGAGGCCATGCTGCTGAAAACACAGTTGTGCTGGGCAGGGCATGTCTCCAGGATGAAGGACCAACCACCGCCTCCCTAAGATCCTGCTTTATGGTGAACTTGCCACCGGCTGCCGGAAGAGAGGAGCCCCAAAGAAAAGATACAAGGACTCCCTGAAACAACATCTCAGCCTCGGGCATATTGATCACCATAACTGGTCTACTCTGGCCTCCAATCAGGAGGCCTGGAGACACACCATCTATAACGCTGCTGATGCTTTTGAGAAAGCTGCAGGATCACCCTTGAGGAGAAAAGACAACGCAGAAAGAACCGTGTCTTGCAGAATATACCACCTAAGGAGTCTTTCTGCTGCGCCTTTAGCAATCGGATATGTCTATCTCATATTGGCCTTATTAGCCACCAGCGTGCTTGTAACAAACGTGGATAGAGCCTTCCTAAATCTTCGTTTGCGAAGCCCAGCCATGGTGATGATCCCCATGTCCTTGGATGCAGGGCTGCTCTCCATCCCTTCAGCCCCGAGCCTGTCCCTTGATATCTGGGGGCATTTGACACCCGCTGGCTCCTTTGATCCCCTTTCCCATCCCTCCCAGAGCAGAGGGGAGGTCCAGGTGCTCCAGGGGCTGCCCCATGTGCCCCTTGCCTGTCCCAGCCCCCAGGAGGGACATTCCATGATGCCCCAACTTGCGCTGCTCAGAATGCACATGGAGGGGGTGAAGGGGATCTCGTGTGCAGAGACCCCCAGGAGCCCCCTGAGCCTCTCTGCTCATGGCAGGGGCACCGGGTGTGCAGGGGCTGGAGAAGGATGGGACACGAACATGGGAACACAGGTACAGAGATGGGAACACACACATGGAGATGGGAACACACACACACAAGATCAAGCAGAGTAGCTTTGCTGAAGGGATTTATTGATCATTCAGGGGAAATGGCCCAGGGCTGCCAGGGAATCAAGAGGGTCCTCCAGGGATGATCATCTCCTCATGCCACTGGAGAGAGACAGGGCACCACTTCCAGTCCTGAAAGACAGAGCCCAAAATGTCACCCCCTGATGTCCAATGAGACTTGAGAGGGGCCTTGTCCTGACCCCTCTCCCTGCAGGCACTGCTCACCTCAGACATCCAGGGATGCAGCCACACGTTTCTCACGAACAAGCCCCACCACCTTCTCAACCACAGGGGGCTGGGGAGAAAGACAGGGTTAGAGACACACTGGGCTGAACTGGGATGTACTGGGAGCCAGGGGCAAGCAATGGGGTTCTTGGGGAAGGTGCCTCTGGGCAGAAACAGGGTCCAGGAGTTTGTGTGGTCCTGCCCAGGAGCACTGGGGGTCCTGGCAAAGAGGCACAGCTGGGGAGGGGCTGATCCTGGGGCATCTGGGGGGGTCCTGTGGTGTCAGGGATTGGAATGCAACAGGGGCCCTCGGGAAGTGGGTTCCTGGGAAAATTCTGGGGGGCAGGGGTGTTCTCTGGGGAGGCAGTAGGGTGCACTGGGGTGTGCTGGGTCAGACTGGGGTGGCCGGGGGTGTCATGGCCATGTGAGGAAAGGACCTGACTCAGGCAGAACTCCTGGTACCCACCTGAGCCGTCTTCAGGATCCCAACGTCCCCTAAATCCAGCTGCAGAGAGACCAGGAGCCCTGGTTGGTCACTGGGATGTCCCCGGTGCCAGCGAGGGATGGGGGGACCAAAGTGTCCCCCAGTTCCCAGACTGGATGCCCTCCAATCCCCCCAGCCCACTCACCTCCCGCAGATCATTTTGGGTTCCTGCCAAGAGTGCCTGGGCAAGGAGAGCAAAGGGTTGCTCAGGATTGGCCCCTGTGGGGCTGGGGGAGGGACACGGGTGTCCCCAGTCCCCCCAGCCCATGGCTGCCCCCCGTCTGAGGGGGAAAATCCCTTCTGCTCCCCCCGCTCCCACTCCACCCAGTTTCACCTCCAACCCCTGTGCCTGCAGGGCCCAGGGTGGGGATGGAGACAAGGAGAGCCAGGGGAATTCAGGGCCTGCAGGGAGGGTGGGGGGAGGTTGGGGGGGACCCAAAGATGCTGAACTGGGGGGAACTGGGGAGCCCACGGGACTGGGATTGGGGTGCTGAAGGGGCACTGGGAGGGATGCAGGGGAGGGGAAAGGAATTCAAGTGTAGGGACATGGGGACTGCAAGGGAGAGGCTTGGTGGGGACAGAAGGAGGATGATGGAGGAGGACAAAAACAAGGGGACTGGGAGATGGTTGGGAGTGGAGAGTGAGTCAAGGAATGGTCTTGGGAGGTACCAGGGCAGTGGCCTGGGTGAAAGGCAAAGGTCTGAGGGGAAGGACGGAAAGATAAAGTTTGGGAATGATCAATGGGAGGATGTTTGGGGACCCTGGGTAGGACACAGAGCAAATGCTGGGGAGGAGATGCCTGAGGGGACTAAAAAGGATGGGATGGGAGGCCCAAGAGGTGGGATTTGGGAGCACCATTAAAAGAAAGAGGTGGGGGCCCTCCCAGCAACTGATAGTGGACCTCCCTTGTCAGGGATTGCTGAATGGTTTCCTGCTGTTTTATCTTTCATTTCCTATAAAAAAATCACCCAAATAGTTTTCAAACAGTGCCTGACAATAGAGCTTGAAGGCACTCGTTCCATCAAAGCCACATCTGTAATTCAGAGGCATAAATAGAGAATGTAGATTTGTCTCTTAAGGGGCTGTCTCATTTCTACTAGAGGTCAATTAGTATCATGTAAAACATGATAATTAAAATTAAAAACTCTTACACTTCTATTTCCCTTTGAAAAATAATTCTGGTGTTAAAACATTCACTTCTGTTTGATTTTTTAAAATCAAAGTAAATGTGTGCACTAGTGGACAGAGACAGGGCTCCCTCCCAGAGAAGCCTATGAAGAATGGGCTGGATGAGCAGACAGCAGGCTGGTTGAAATCTGCTGGCCGGGGTGGTGATCAGTAGTGCAACATCCAGCTGGAGGCCAGTGATTAGCAATTCCTGGTCAACATCTTCATTGATGATCTGGATGACAGGATATAGTGCTCAACCCTCAGACCTGCTGCCAAAACAGAAGCCAAGAAAGAGCCGCCTTATTTTGGATTCACAGAATCCAACTCTCTTCTCCAAGAGGCCTCTCCTTATTCAAACACTAAAGGGCACAAGAGTCATCTTTTCTGTCACATACAGGAAGAGGAGAGTAGAGATTGGCAAAAAGACTGCCTGCTAAAACAACCTCAACTTGAAAAAGACACCAATAATGCCATAGTGGTGCTACTGTGGTGTTACTGCTGGAACTCTAAAGAGAAAGGAAGACAGGTCTGATGAAGGGAAGGGTCTGAAGGAACTTTCCCCACAAATATGCCACATTCTGCTTTCACACCTGATGCTGGCCAGATGCAGAAAAGGGATTTTAGAAGGAAAATGCAGGAGGAAAAAAGAGTCTGTTCTTACCAGTCCAAAAGAGCATGGACTTACCTTTCCAGTTTCTTGGCTAGGTTTTTTCTGGTTTTGGCTTCCACCAGATACAGCTCTTTGTACTTTTCCACTTCTGCCTGGGTGGATTCTTTTTGAGGAGCTCTGTCTTGTCAGGTGTTTTTTATCCTGTCCAATTGATTTTTGAGATCTCTCCTTCTTTCTTCTCTTTTCTCACTGAATCACAATGATGACTCCGAGGACTTGAGCTCTTTCATGCTCAAGAATCAAGATCAGTCAATCTGCTAGTCAGAAAAAATGAATGTGTTTCTAATTGTGAGTGCATAAGAAACCAGCTCTGCATCAGTAAACCAACAGGTCAGTGCCATGTGCTTGACATGCATTTCATAGAGTTGATGAGTTTACATTCCGACTGCAAGGAACGTTTTCACATCTGAAGTGGGGAATGGGAAACCATAGACTCACTGTAAACACCGAATGATTTCCAGAGCCTTTCCATAGCATTTCATTCAAATCCAGTAATTTTGGATTAAAAAATCACGGTGCTCCTCCATTACTCTGGAAAGGGGATCCTGGTCTGTCGGGAGCGAGGACATTGCTGAATATGAAAGCTGGAGAAGACAACAAGAAATGTGTGACCCTCCAGAGGATGAAAGCCCTGGATGAAGTTGTCAAGAAGTTCAGACACAATGCGTTTTGAGTTTTACGGTTGTGTCTAAACATTTATTGTAGTTTTTCCCTTGTTTGTACCCTGAAATTGTTTGATGAAAAATCCCCTTGATTTCTATATCCTTAGACCCCACTCCCTGATTGGCCAAAGTTTGCTGCATTGCAATATTTCCTTTTATGGTCACCCTTTCCCTAAAATGGATAAACCCTACCCTCTTTTCCCCTTCTATAGTTACACTTTGCATGCTGGGGTCCCATCTGGGGTGCCAAGAAGAGCTGTGCTTTGGTACCAATTACCTCTGAAGCTGCTCATATGCCTTCATACACCACTAAGATTTCCTTCTCCACAGGGGTGGAATTGGCCTCAGAACCTCTGTAGCTTTGGCTCCGGAAACCCAGTGGTCGCCCTCACGTCTCACCAGGCACCTTTTGCCAGAGGCTCCAGGAGGGACCTTTATCTCCAGCTGCAGAGTAGAGCACATTCTTTACATCTGGTCCCATCCTGACTGGTCCAAGAGCCACGGCATGTGCAATCTCTTGCTTGATCTGCCTGAAAGCTTGTTGTTGTTCAGGACCCCGTTAGAAATTGTTCTTTTTACGGGTCACAAAGTAAAGAGGGCTCACAATCTGGCTGTACTCTGCTTTGTACCCAAGTGCACATCGTTTCCATGGTCAATTCAGTTGTCCTTGGATCGTATCTTGTTATTAAGCAATTAACATACGATGCAGGGGCACCTTTAATTACTTTCTTCCACATTGGCTGCCTGCACACAATGCTCTCTGGCTCTAGCCACTGGTGGTATTCTAGGTCACAAGAAATGATTTCCAGCACAGCCAATTCCCGTAAAGTACTGGATGCCTTCTTCTGCCGTAGTCCACCTTCTTGGAGAACTCACCAGCTCTTCTCTAAATGGGGACCTCTCCCTCACAGCATTGAGGATCCGGAGCCAAAGACTGCGCCAATGTCTCTCTCTTCCCATTTCCTGTTCAATGACTCGATCTCCAGCCATAGATCCCAACTGCTGAGCTTCAAACCCTTCTAACCTGTGGCTTCGAGCCCCATTATCCCAGCATCGTAACAGCCAGGTGAGAATTGGTTCAGCAGGTTTGGGACTGTAATCTCCTCGTAGGTCTCAGAGCTCTGCTGGGGTCCTTGCCATCCAGAGACTGGCCTTTCCAAGCCCCTTCCCAAAGCTCCAGAGATTCCTTTTCAGCTTTGGCCTTTCTTACAACAAGGGGACCCATGCAGCACCACCTTTCCAATTTTAAGTGGCATTTTCGCTGCCTTCACCACTAGGATCATTGTCGCTGAACAATTTAGGGAGGGGTTAGAGCTGATCTTAGGAGTCTTTGCTACCAAACCTTGAATGCCACCATTAAGGAAACTGGTTACTAGGCTGTGGAGGTCGAAATTCAGGAAAGGGAGCAATTCATTCCATCCATCTGAACGGTCCCTTGCAGGTTGTCCTAGGACAGGCACAAAAACAGCAAGAATCATGAAAAAAATTAGTAAAAAGGCCATTGTCATTATTTTTCTTTCTCCTTCTTCCTAAACAAAGCTATGTTTAGATAAACAAAATCCTTCTTGGCAGCTCTCCCGGTAGTGTCCCAAAACAATGGTGGATGTTTACAAAACAAACCTGTTCTTGGTAGCTTTCCCAGACAATGTTCCCACAACAAAACCAAAAGAACCAAAACAATCCCACTTCTGACCCCAAAACAATCTGGAGCCGGTTGGAGTTGGCTTCCCGCCAAACCCCACAGGCTACAGAAGATTACTACGTGTAAATCTAGTGTAGAACTTAGGTGGGAGGTTCCTGCACCACAGGGCTCTTTCCCACAGGTTCTCTTGGAAAAGAATGGAGTCACACAGCTCATTGCTTCCATTTCAACCTTTTTTGGCCTTTGACCACTCTGGAAATTTTGTACCAACCTGATGAGCAGAAGTCTTGGGCTTTACCACAGGTGTCTGGGTGGTGTTCTGAGACCCAGACTTCTGCTCAGTCCCAAACTGATGCCAAGAAGTCCCAGGCCAGTTGAATCCAGAAGTGGACTTGCAGCCAGATGTCCGCTGACAGCGCTGCTTGGGACTGCAGATCTGCTTCTGTGGTGCTCCCAAAGGAGCTTGGTGTTGGCCTCTGCAAGTCTCTCATTAGCTCTGAAACATTCACAAGCACACAGAGAGTCATCTGTGGCAGGAAGGCTTTTGCAAAGTTACCCTCCACATCCTTGACTACTACTCCACTTCTAAAAGCCAAGGGCATTAAGAGTGTCCAAAACAAGCACATCCTTTGATCTGAGCTTGTTCAGAGGGCCTGTTTCTAAGAAATCACACCAAGTGCAAGGAGCAGCAAGTGTCACCTCCATAAGAACTCTGGGCTACCCTGGCCTTCTCAAAGAAAGCTCAACCCTCAGACCTGCTGCCAAAACAGAAGCCAAGAAAGAGCCGCCTTATTTTGGATTCACAGAATCCAACTCTCTTCTCCTAGAGGCCTCTCCTTATTCAAACAGGAAAGGGCACAAGATTCATCTTTTCTGTCACACGCGGGATGAGGAGAGTAGAGACTGCCAAAAAGACTGCCTGCTAAAACAACCTCAACTTGAAAAGACACCAATAATGCCATAGTGGTGCTACTGTGGTGTTACTGCTGGAACTCTAAAGAGAAAGGAAGACAGGTCTGATGAAGGGAAGGGTCTGAAGGAACTTTCCCCACAAATATGCCACCTTCTGCTTTCACAGCTGACGCTGGCCAGATGCAGAAAAGGGATTTTAGAAGGAAAATGCAGGAGGAAAAAGGAGTCTGTTCTTACCAGTCCAAAAAAGCATGGACTTACCTTTCCAGTTTCTTGGCGAGGCTTTTTCTGACTTTCGCTTCCACCAGATACAGATCCTTGTACTTTTCCACTTCTGCCTGGGTGGATTCTCTCTGAAAAGGTCTTTCTGGTGGGTTGCTTTTTCTCCTTCCCAGTGCACATTCCAGATCTCTAATTCTGTCTTCTAACTGGTTTTTCAGTGAGTCCAAATGACTGCTTCTGATTTCTTCCAGTGTGTCCTGGTAGGCTGCCTGTGCCTGAAGGAGACAGTGCACCTTCAACCCCCACAAGAAAAAGAGAGCTCTGCCCAGCACAAAATTGCACAGACCCAATTTCAGGGCTTTGCTCAGAGAGGCGGAGGTGCCTCCTCACTGCCAGCAGCAATCAAGGCAGAACCCAGGAGCTACCAGGGCAAAGAATTCTTTGCATTGGGAAAGAAGCCCAAATTAGCTCTCTTCTTCAAAGCTACTAATGGAGAGACACTGGATCTGTAGGACAGGGCATATCCAAACGGATTCTTCAAAGACAAGAAGAGCATCCCCCACCTCCACCTCCTCCCTCCCATCCCTGTCATTTCAGTGACTCCTTTTCTGAGCACCTTCCCCCCTGCAAGGACAAAGCAGCACCTGTAGGTCTGGCCATGACAGCTGCAAGTTGCCAAACCCATTCAAGGATGAGCAGCGAGAAGCAGAGCAGCGCACAGAGATCCCCCCAAGCACTGCAAAGTGGGAATCTGCCTTGGGCAGCCTTTGGATTCAGGGACCTGCCAGCACATTCCACACCCAGGACAGCACTCCTGCCCAACCAGATTGCCTTCTGCCACTGCCTTCAGCAAAGACAGAAGCTAACACACAGAATACAGGAGCAAAAGAAAAATACCCAAAACCACGACCACAAGAGAAGTTTACGTAGCACCTGTGACACTGGGGAGAAATTCACTTACTTGCAAAAACTCATTGACTTCTTGGAGTTTTTCCCTTATTTCCTGGTCTGCTTGTTCTTCCACCTCTCTTTTACATTGTTCCAGTTGGCTGCGATCCACCACATTGGTCTCCAAATGATGCCGGAGTTTTGCCAGCTCTTCTTGCAGCTGGCATTTGTCCATCGCCAGGTTCTCGCACTTCCCACGCAGGGTAGACAGCTCTTCCTGCAAAGCCTGATTTTTGGCTTCCAGCTGCGTGCACTGTTCACGTTCCCTGTCCAACTGCTGGGAAAGTTCAGCAACCTGCAGACAGAAAGAAAAAAAAAGGAACTCAGCGAGGTGTAAAGGCAGTGAATTCTGGGAAAACCCCAAAAGGGGGTGCCCAGGGAGACTCTATTCATCATCTGCTGGCTCAGGACTAGAAACAAAGTGAAACCAGGCTCTTCTTTTCCAGCAAGAACAGCTTTCACATCCTTTGTCATAGGATTCCTCAGCTTCCCATCCTTTTGCAGTTCCTCATGCAAAAATGCTCCAAGCTTCTGGACTCCAAAGGAATCCCTGCAAAGGCAGGAAGCCATTCCACAGGGATGCCTCCAAACCCAAGCGTGACTCTGACAGACGCCGCTTTAGCAACGGATCCGAGTGATGAGCGGAGAAGGGGATGAGAGGTTCCATGGCACTGCTGCACAGGCAGAGCAGCCTCAAAAGCACTGCTGGGAACAGTCCCTCTGGCTCCCCGCCACAAGATGGGCTGAAACAGCTCCCCGTGAGCAATAGGTGAGAGATTTTCCCCTGGGAGGCCCCTGTCCTCATTGTGCCCTGGGCAGCAACAACACTGTGCAGAAAAGCAAAAGGTCAAGTGCCTCCTGCTCAGCTCGTGCCTGAGACAGGGCTCAGGGGCTGATCGTGCCCTGCCAGTGACAGCGGAGTTCCTCCCCTCTCTCCCAGGGCAGCAATTCATCTCTCACACCCAGAGGACGCTGTCACAGCCTCCCTCAAGCTGCAGCCAGGCCTGAGCTGGGCCCCACTGCTCTCAGCCCATGGACGGGATGTCCTGCCAGGACGGCAGACCTGCCCATCCCTAAGGCCCAGCCGGGGGATCTGCACTCTTGGCTGACCCCGCTTACTGTCAGCAGACCTGTTCTGCTCTTCCTGCTCAGGGCCTGTGGGACGGCTCCCTGGCCCGGGAGCTCTTGCACCCTGCCAGGCTGCTGCCACTCCTGGCTTGCCCTTCCTCTGCAGGACAGCCTGGCCTCCAGCAGCCCTTACACCTACTGCTCTGCCCTCTACATTTGCATCTTTCCCCAGAATGAGAACTACCTCTGGATTAGTTCGAGTCATCTACCACTGCAACAGCAGAAGGAGCATTAAGAAAAGCCCAGCACATCCAAAATGCAGCCAATGGGAAAAAAAATCATCAGCATGACAAGAAATAGAGGGAAAGCATCTCCCAGCTTTCAAAAGAAGTAACACCACAACCAAAAAGCCCCACCCAGAGTGCAGCCCACCTCTCTTTGGAATCTATCAACTTCCTTGACCTTTTCAGAGTATCTCTTCTTCATTTCTTCCAGCTGGGACTGCCTTTCTTTCTCTTCATTAACCTGAAGTTTCCTCCTATCTGTCCTCAGAAGCTTTTCCAACCTGCACAGCAAATTAGTGAAGAAAACCATGAAACACAGGAAGAACCAGCCTTTCCCCCACAGTCTCACAGAAACAGCACAGACAGCATCCAAGCCTAGAATGGCTTGGCTTGGCAGGGACCTTAAAGATCATCCAGTTCCAAGCCTCCTGCTGTGGGCAGGGACACCTTCCACCAGACCAGGTTGTTCAGAACCCCATCCAACCTGGCCTTGAACACTTCCAGCCGTGGGGCATCCACAGCTTCTCCGGGCAACCTGTTGCAGTTCCTCACCACCCTCATAGCAACCAATTTCTTCCCAGGATCAAATCTAAACCTACTCTCTTTCTGTTTGAAGCCATTCCCCCTTGTCCTCTCACTACCTGCTCTTTTCAATGCACTCTCTTCATCCTTCCTGTAGGCTCCCTTCACATCCCAAAAGGCCACCATTAGGTCACCCCAAAGCCTTCTCTTTTCCAGGCTGAAGTATTGCAATTGTCCCAGCCTTTCCTCCTAGCAGAGGTGCTCCATCTTTCCAAGCACCTTGGTGGCCTCCTCTGGACTCAGTCCCACAGGTGGAGGTCCTTGCTGTGCTGAGGAGCCCAGAGCTGGATGCAGCACTCCAGCTGGGCTCTCCCAAGGGCAGAGCAGAGAGGCAGAATGCCCTCCCTCCACCCGCTGGCCACGCTGCCTTGGACGCAGCCCAGGACACAATTGGCTTTCTGGGCTGCGAGCGCACATCGCCGGCTCATGGCCGGCCTCTCATCCAGCCCAAGTGCTTCTGGGCAGGGCTGCTCTGCCCCTCTTCATCCCCCAGCCTGCATTGATACAGGGGCTGCCCTGAGCCACGGGCAGCATCTGGCACTGGCTCTTGTTAAACCATCAGGACATTGCCATGGGCCCACTTCTCCAGCTTGTCCAGGGCCCTCTGGATGCATCAGCTGTGTCAACCACACCCCTCAGCTTGGGGTCAGCTGCAAATTTGCTGAGGGCACACTCCATCCCTTCCTCTGGATCATTAGTGAAGAGATTAAAGAACACTGGTCCCAATCCAGAGCCCTGAGGGACACCACTTGGAAATGATGGCCCTCAGGACTCTGAGCCATTGATCACTACCTCTGCATGGGACTGTTCACCCAATTTCTTATCCATCTAACAGTCCACGCATCCAATCCGTCTCTCTCCACTTTGGAGAGAAGGATGTTGTGGGGGACTGTGTCAAAGGCTTTCCAGAATGACAGGGAAATGACATGGGTAGCCCTTGTCCACTGATGCAGTCACTCCATCTTAGAAGGCCACCAGGTTGGTCAAGCAGGACTTGCCCTTGGGGAAGCTGTGCTGGGGCTTCCAATCACCTCCCTGTCATCCATGTGTCTTGACAGAGCTTCTAGAAGGATCTTTTCCATGACCTTCCCAGGCACACAGGGGAGGCAGACAGGTTGGCAGTTCCCAGGGCCCTCCTTTCTACCCCTTTCAAAGATGGGGACAGTGGGTTTCCCTTTTTCCCCTCACCTGGGACTTCACCTGACTGCCACGACTTTTCAAATATCAAGGACAGTGTCTTGGCAACTCCATCAGACCCTGTTGGCCAATGGAGGGCAATAATGCTGGCCCAGATGTACAAGATGGATTTCCAAGGAAAATGCAGGAAGAAAAAGGAGTCTCTTATTACCACTCCAAAAAAGCATGGACTTACCTTTCCAGTTTCCTGGCTAGGCATCTTCTGGTCTTTGCTTCCTCCACATACAGCTCTTTGTACATCTCCATCTCTCCCTGCGTTGCTTCTTTACGAGAAGCACTCTCTTGTTGGGTTTTTTTGACTCTGTCCAATTCACTTTGGAGATGTCTAATTCTTTCTTCCAGCTGGATTCTCATGGAATCACAGTGACTCTCTCCGGTTTGTCCTAGTGGGGCCTGGTAGGCTGCCTGTGCCTGAAGGAGACAGTGCACCTTCAACCACCACAAGAAAAAGAGAGCTCTGCCCAGCACAAAATTGCACAGACCCAGTTTCAAGGGCCCAGCCTTACTCAGAGAGGTGGCTGTGCCTCCTCACTCCCAGCAGCAATCAAGGCACAACCCAGCAGCTACCAGGGCAAACAATTCTTTGCATTGGGAAAGAAGCCCAAATTAGCTCTCTTCTTCAAAGCTACTAATGAAGAACCTGTGGACACTGCTGAGAAAGTCACTTACTTGCAAAACGAGGCTGACGTCTTGGAGCTTTTGACTTCTTTCCTGGTCAGCTCGTTCTTCCACCTCTCTTTGACATTGTTCTCTTTGGCTGCCATCCAGTACCAAAGTCTCCAAATGATGATGGAGTTTTGTCACCTTATCTTGCAGCTGACATTTGCTCTTCTCCAGTTTTTCACACTTCCCAAGCAGAGTGGACAGCTCTTCTTGCAAAGCCTGGTTTGGGGCCTCTGGCTGCATGCCTGTTCTAGGCTCCATGTCCAGCTGCTGGGAAAGTTCACCACCCTGTACACAGGAAAAAAAAAGAAAAGGAAACTCAGGGTGATCTAAAGGCAGTGAATTCTGGGAAAACCTCTCAAGGGGTGGCCATGGAAACTGTATTTATCATCTACTGGAAACCAGCCTAGAAAACACTGGAAAGAAAGAAGAAACTTTAGACCTACTGAAGAATTTTTGAGACACTTCTGGCAGCAATACTTCTGGGTCCCTTGGAGCTCAGGATGAAACTCCTCATTTAGAATCTAAGAATTCCTCCAGTGTCCAGCACAGCAAATACCCTCCGGGCTTTTGTAGCAGCTGGGGAAAGGACCAGGCTGCTTTCTGAGCAGCCTCTGCTGAGGAGAAGGCAGAAACTGAGCTCCCCTAGGCTCTCCAGGAAAACTTCCTCTGACAATTGCCCCACACAAAGAGGCAACTAGGCTCAAGAGTCACAAAAAGGCAAATTTAGGACCAGCTTACTGAGGCAGAGGCTTGCAGCTCTCTCGGAAGGGCTTCAACGCTATCACTTGGCTGCTGGACAGTGGCTTCCAATCTGTTGTTTTCACTTGCAAAGCTTAAAAAGAAATACAGGTCTTATAACCAGAAAATCCAATGCCAGACAAACTGTGCTAAGGAACAGAATCCACAGCAGAAGTGTCCTTCAAAATCCCACTGACTCTGCCCTTGTTTCCACCCAATCCCCCAAAGCCACAGACCCCTCGCTTCACTGGGTTACTCTCTTACTGTTGCGCGTCTTCTTCCAGTTGTTTTACAGTTGGATTGGTCTCACAAGATGCCAACAGGAGGTCCTGCAGATTCTGGGAAGAAGTTATTGCCTGTCTTTTCTTGTCATCCAAGGCAGTCTTCAAGTCAGGAACACAATGCTCAGACTGAAGATGCTTTTCTTCCTCCTCCCGCAGCTGTAAAATCACGGTAAGAATCCACAGTTGTCAGGGGAGCTTTTCCAGAGAGGAGCCAGCTGCTGCTGAAGAACTCAGGGGCTGCATGTCTGTGTGCATCCCCTCTGCCCAAAGAACTGCAAGCATTTCAAGTCCCTTCAAAGCTTCACTTCTACTCCCCAATGAACACAATGAATCCTGTTTTGTCCGTTTTCAGGATGGAGAGGAAGCAACAGGCACCCCCAGGTTTCTCCCTGTGGGGACAGGCTTTCCATACCTCCACATCAGCCCTGTCCAACTCCTCCTGCAAGCGCAGATTATCTTCCTCCAGGTGAGCCTCATGGCTTACAGGAACCACAAGAGCAGTCCTAAAGCATCCAAAATTTCATCAGAAACATCTCTGATCCTGCATCATTTTTCCCTGCTTGCTCTCAAAAGAGCTCCTCCCCCCTTTCCTACAAGCTCCGGGAAAGCAAAGCCAAGTCCATGGAAGCACTGGAGAATTTCTCTTACAAGGGGCCTCCCTAAAGCAGCTTCAGCTACCAGGTCAGGCCGTGCTGTTCAGGGCTCCTTGCACTGCTCTTCAAAGTCCCCTCAGATGTGGCTGCACAAACTCCCGGGGCGAGCCCTTCGACCGCCTGACCATCTCCATGGCAGGAAGTTTTCTCCTTCTGTGCACTCAGAGCCCCTCGTGTCCCCTGGGACAGTGTTGCTTCTCTTTCCCCCAGCGCTTCCCTTCCGAGCACTTAACGCACCAACTCTGCCTTGGCTTAAACCCCCCTGGCCTGCAGAGCAGCCACGCTGCTGAGCTACTGGCAAGTTTCCCCATGGCTCTGGCTCTGTGTGGGGGGAGGGCACCACAGACAAGGCTTTCTTGCAGACCTCAGCGGGCAAAGGACGAGAGCCCCGAAGCTACGAGAGCAGCCAAGTGCAGACCTGCATTTACCAGTCCCACGGGGAACTGCTTCCATGGGGCTCCTCCTTCTTTTCCCCAGCTCATTGCCACACCCCTCGTCTGGGTCACACTTGCACACTACCCAGAAGACCCAGGTGCTGTTTTGACAAAGCCCTCACCTTTCCCCCTGGGCTTGAGCATGCCTGTCAGCTGCTTTTTTCACAAGGCACTCCAGAATCTCCTCATGCTGTTGCAAGGCTGCAAGTTTGAAGGGGGTAAATCCCCACTAAAAGGAGAAAGAATCTCCATTAGAAAGACACAGACAAGCTGTGCAGCTGTTGGAAAGAACAGTTTTAGCCACATGCCAAGGTTACCTGGTTCTGAGCATCACTCTTGGCATGATGCTCCAGTAACAGCCCTGCTACAGCTGTGTTTTTAGAGAGGACAGCCAGGTGAAGGGCAGTGTTGCCATCAGCGTCTGCCAGATTGGGGTCGGCACCGTGTTCCAGCAGAACAGCAACACATTCTTCCTGCTCCTGCTGGACTGCCTGGGAACAACACACCAAAAGGGAAAGATTCCAACTTTTCCATCCCCCTCTCTCACAACTCCCTGAGCTCCTGAATGCTGCCATAGAAGACCATCTGCAAAGATCAGCTAACAGAGGCCTGTGCCGTGCCCATTGCAATGGGCATGTTTCTATGGCCCTGCGGTGCAAGGAATCCTGCCAGACACCTCCCCTTTAACACACCCTCACTAAGCCCCAGCTCCAAGCTCAGCAGGCATTCCACACACCTTCATCAGGGCCGTCCTCTTGAAGTTGTCAGCGAGGTTGGGCTGGCTGTTCTTTCTTAGCAGATATCTGACGACATCTGCATGGCCGTTGGCCGAAGCCAGATGCAGAGGTGTCCTAAAAATTAAACAGACGCTCTTAACTTAGACAGACAAAGGACGAGCCCAAGCTGTGTCTCTACCCAGCACCCTGGGGACCCTGCCCAGACTCTGCTCCTCCTGCTCCCTGCTGCTGCTGCTGCTGCTGCTGCTGCTGCTGCAACCCTGCCCTGATCAGCCAGAGGGCAAAAGAGAAGAGGTGAGGGCTGAGCAGCTGCAGAAGAGCCCTGCAGAGAGATCACAGCCAAGTGGCAGGTGGGCAACACGCGTTTCCAACAGCGCTGGATCCCGGCCAGCAGCTCCAAGTGAAAAGCTCAGGAGTTCCCTCTCCCAGCTGACAGGGCAAATCTCCCTTTTCAAGCCTTGTCCTTAAGAGAGGGCTGCCGAGGACTACTGCAGCTTGGCTCAGGAGCAGCCAAGGGGTGCCATCAGCGTGGCCCAGAACTCACCGCATCTCCTGGTCTGGCCTGTCGATGCCGACTACCTTCACGTACCAGCGCCAGCGCCTCAGCCAGCCCAGGTCGCCGCGGGCGGCCGCGCGGTGCAGCCTGCCCAGCCCCTGCTCCCGGAGCTGGGAGGTGCTGCTGGAGCTGGTGGCAGCCCAGGACTGCCCACTGGTGCTGCTGGATGGCGACTGCCATCGCTTCTTGCTCAGAAGCCACGGCATGGCCCTGCTTGCAGCTCCCAGCAGCAGGAAGGGCAAGAAGCCCCCGGCGGGCTGCCGGGTGCCAAGTGGGGATGAGGAATGGGACGAGGACAAGGTTTAGGGGGAGGGTGACAAAGGGGACAAGGACGAGAATAGGGACGGGCACAGGGTATGAAGCACAAGGCGGACGAGGTCGCCCTGCGCAGTGATCGTGGCCTGCAGCTGCCAAGACGGCGATCCAGGCGCGCAACGCTCCCCGAGCGGGATGTGCTGCTGCTCCCCGAGAGGCTACAGCAGCTCTGAGCGCCGGCTGCGGGCACCAACAAAGCCGTGCCCGACTGGCGCCTGTGGCGTCACAATGGCTGCTGGAAGGCTCAGCACGTCAGCGTGGGCTGTGACAGAGGCCACGGTGCAGGTGGGGCCGGGCGGGACATGGCAGGGCGGGGCAGGTGTGAGGGCGGCCCTGCTGGGCCTGGTGGGAAGGAGGCGGCCTGGGCCTTGTGAGGGCGGCCGGCGGGAGTGGGCACTGCCCCGCCTCAGGGCGCCCCGGGGCAGGGCCCGGGACGCTCCCACCGGGCCGGAGGCTGCGGTAGG